GGTTCTTACACCGCTTTACGATCCATTTTCGTATCGCTTCTGCAAGCATATCATCCCAAACGGATAACTTTGTCGTGCTCGGGAAGTTAAATTTAATTGACATCGATCAACTTTCAAGCTTATGCTCTTAAATGACAATTACGGTGGCACAGGTTCAAAGTATATCGCAGGAGGACAAAATAATTCTAGAGCTCACTTATAAGGGATAAGATTCTTCTTATAGAAATCAGATTTAGGCTCAACTGATGGAATATGCACCATAAGTCATTTTTACACGTGACTAATATAGTTGTTCTCGCGCGTTAGGTGGCCAAGATCTCATAGGTGAGCAATGAATTTCATCGAGAAATTTTTTGTGCGCCTGAAAGTAGATGGAGAGAAATGTGCACGTCCAGTGAAATGTAATCAGAATATGAATTCCTTTGTTCAAAAAAGAATTGCCAAGGGTTTTAAATGATTGACCATTACTAACTGAGTTGACTCAGAAATCTGAGACGGTCGCCAGTAGTGCAACGGGTTAGAGCACGCGCTCTCGGATAGAGTGGCATGTGGATTCGAGTCCCGGCTGACTCGAAAGTTTTGCGCGTCACACTATATTAAAAGGTAAATTTGAAAATTGTACGATGTTTTATTTTCAGCTTGCAATAGTGGTTTTCCCGTAGCCTTTTATGCACGAATATAGAAATGCTTTGAATCATTAGAATATTGTCACCATCGAGACATTTAATACACGGAGAGAAAACGTATCGGCTAGTGATGCTCGGTAACAGGTGGGCATGGGCACGTTCGGACCCTTCTTTTAAGGCTCTTTCCCAAATCAACGTCGGATTGTCTTAGCTTGGTTATCATCAAAATCGCAAGCAGTATTGTCCCAACTAGTAATCTGTGACATTCATATAAAAGACGAAGTTCTCAAGCAACAGCCAATACAACATGCGAAATGTTCAAGCAGCTTTTCAAAGGATGAATGCGAGAAAGCGAATGCTAAAGTGCTGAAATCTTAAACTAGTTGTGATGAAGGGTGATTTAAAAAATTGAAACATTTAAAAGAGAGCAGAATAAATGAAAAAAAGCTATAGCAGATGAAAAAAACTAATTTGTTTATCTAGCGTCATTAAAGATGAACTTCACTAAACCAGCCACCATTCATCCGTCAACAACCAAGAGCTTTTTGCATAGAAAGTTGTCTAATTCGACGGCTCAGTCATATTCTTCCATAATTCTCTATTTTAATTCGATTGCTTCCCTTCTTCGTTTTGATAAAATGTGAATAGGGAAGAATTTCACTGCACCTGGTTTGCCAAGGACAACTAGCATTTTTCTGCGCAATAGTTGAAGAGTTAATAATTATACCATTATTTCGAGTGCTTTGTTTAGACCACGCTCAAATTTCAATATATCCTTTCATTATTATTTGAGCCAACTTGTCCTGTGGTCTGGTAAGGGTTCTTGTACAGCCCGATACACGTGTTTCGTCCTTACAAACTCGTCAGCCGGGCAGAACCCGTCGTCTGTCGATCTTTTTATAGTCAGTTCTCTCGGGAGCGTTACACTCCTTATAGAGAGTCATCGACGACGAACGCTTTACACTCTATGTCAAGTGAAACTTTCACCTAACCCAGAGTGTTGTGCACTCGATTGCTCATTGGCTGGTACTTTTATCATAATTATACCTTTATTTCGAGTGCTTTGTTTGTGTTACTTTCTATGTGTAATCGTTCTCATTTCGTAGAATCGTTGGTGACGTTCAAAACTTCCCGTCCTATAAATTGTCGATAATCATTTCAAAAAGGCAAATAAGGATTTTCAAGATTCATAGACAATGTTGCACATAGTCTGTACAAAAAGTAAGGCTAGACCAAGTCTTAAATGACACCATGGTACTGCTGTCTGATGAATTGTACATTGTCTGATGACGGGCTGTACAAGAGCCCTTACCAGACCACATGACAAGTTGGCTCAAATAATAATGAAAGGATATATTGAAATTTGAAAGTGGTCTAAACAAAGCACTCGAAATTAAGGTATAATTATGATAAAAGTACCAGCCAATGAGCAATCGAGTGCACAACACTCTGGGTTAGGTGAAGGTTATACTTGACATAGACTGTAAAGCGTTCGTCTTCGATGACTCTCTATAAGGAGCGTAAGACTCCCGAGAGAACTGACTATAAAATGATCGAAAGACGACGGGTTCTCGCGGCTGACGAGTCTGTAAGGACGAAACACGTGTATCGGGCTGTACAAGAGCCCTTACAAGACCAAATGACAACTTGGCTCAAGTAATAATGAAAGGATAAGTTGAAGAATAGTTGAGTTAAAAGATTCCATAATGCCATATTAAAACAGTATAGGGTAATTTGCACAAGAAACACTGGCTCGCGACAGCAGAGCTATGGATAGTGAAATTTATAATATGAATGGATAGTAGACAACTGTAAATGAGACATAATTAGAAATTGATTCGCTAGAAATTAACGCTGCAGACGATTTCAACGCTTGCTGAGGTTGAACTCGATAACATGATGTGATAGCCAGCGTCGCGTCGTTCATAGAGAAAAGCCACGTTTTCTAATTGATGGATAGCACGCTTTATAGCGTTTAATTTTTTGAACATTTGTGGCAACTTTATGAGTCTTACATCAGCTGGAAAAAAGCATAGTGATCCAAGAAGTTTAACGCGAAAGCATGTGAACAAACCAACTCTCTAAAATAAGTTAATAGTTCCGTCAAAGAACTTAAATTACATTCCTCAGTTTCTATGAAGTCTATAGAACGGGTGACTCAAATGAGTGAAATGGTAAAGTATCCATTTCCGTATGGGGTCGAGAACCAGAGCTGCTATGAGTGCTCCGCCTGTGAAATGAACAGCAACCGTCATTACATCCGCGTGAAACTCCTTATTCTGGCGATTCATACTAGAAGATCATTTATGGAAACCTTAGAGGGTGATATGATGGTAGCTGGTTGTAATAATCAGTACAATATTGGAATTTGGTTAAAATAGACGTGATGCTTTTTGCTGCGTGTGATTACAAACCGCTTCACACGTGATTTCCGACCACTTGGTGGTTTTTGCTAAGTCGGCGTACAGGATGCAGTCCGTTTCGAACGTAATTATATCCAGCCAAGATAAGCAAGATTGTGATTCAGTGTATAGGAAAGAGGTGAACGTTTGCCCCTCCATCACTTCTTCTGCAGATATGCTTGCTCGCTCATCATCCCCACATCACAGTAATCTATGAGTGATAGGGCACCTATGGATGAACAGTGAATAAAAGATCAACGTAATCAGCTTTCTTAGATCCATAGAGAACGTCATGTGAAATGGTAGGAAATATAGTTCTGCATGGACAAATCTAAGCCTCTTGCATAACTCTATAATGTCTTCAAGCCAATTATTCATTGAGTGAAAATTTTGTTAGATATTGAAAAGCCAACATTGCCGTGTTCAAGTCATTCACGAAGCTTACCGTTTTTCCAGTAAAGAAAGCATCAACGGCTGTGACTATTTCTTTCTACCAATATATAGCACCAGAATTGAGAGAGTGGAAGTAAAGCGGTGGCCTCGGTACTGTTGTGGAAGCTCGCACCCCGGTATGGATGAAACCCGGGTTCAACTGCTACCTGGGGTAGAATGCCTAGTATATCAATCAGCTGTCATAGATGTATCACACCAGAGCCCTTCCTTCGAGATACGTCTAATTCAAACTTCTCGACAGTGGATCAATGGAGAAATATTAGCTCGGGGCCAGAGGTCGCTCTTAGGATGAGGTGGAGGGCACCTTTGAACCAATGCGTTAGTTGCATTCCCAGCAATAATCGACAAAAATGAATAAATCAGAACGTACAATTTTGACACGGAAATTCTTCTATATACACTGCCAAAGGAAAAAGAGAAGGAATTAACGAAAATATTGGAACCGCACGTCATTAAATTATGTTATATCCTTTGCACAATCATAACGCAAGGAAAGAGATCTTCTGTCAACTCGAATTTTCTAGTCGTCAGTTCAGTCAGTCTTAGGGCAGTTTATGAGGTGAAAAGGTGCAAGTGCACTACTTTTGTGGTCGGAGCTATTGTCTGGTTTAAGGTACGACATAAAGACTTTGTTCAGCGGTGGCGGTTCAAGCAAAACTGAACGATGATATTCGGCGAAGTGTGCACTCTTAAAATTCTCAAATAATCAAATAAAAAGTTGCTTTGCTGTCATCACCATTTATTTCAGAACATAAGCTTTTTTCTCTTGTGTGTGACCATTTCCTCAAACTGCGCAATGAGTTGGAAGTTCTCTGAATTCCAACTTCATACTGAGACGTGTTTTGAAGAGGTTAGCATTTCAGACGAAGGACTCAAACCTGAAGAACTGCGAGTAGGTCGTCAAGATGGCTTCTACTTAGTCAGTTCAGGCGCTTCGAAGGCTATAAAGAAGAAAAACCCCACGTTTCCAAAAACATCACTATTTATGATTCAATGGAAGTGTATATATTTTGCTTTCAAAGCATAGGTTCTGTAATGTGGAATCCGGGTTACCAAGTCATTGGACTATCAAACCATAACCACAGGCTATCAAACAACAGCTTATAGATTGGGTTTTTTTTCCAAACATCTATTGTGACATATTATCTGGTAGTAATGCTAAATATCGTCATCCTGAAGATATTTCCGAGTGACTGCTCTTATATACCCATTGACGTAGAGCGATGTGCGAAACTTTCGCGTCAGGCGGGACTAAAACCAGGACTTCACTTTTTCCAGGAATGCGTGCTCTATTCGTTACACTACTGACGCCCATTTTGCACATCGCTCTATATATTTATAACATCATACCACCGCTGTGAGCGGTCAAATAGAAAGAATACCATTTGATCTATAACACCCAATATCTGTCAACGTGACTGGGTTCAATGTCGAGACCGACTACCCGGGCCAGGCTGTTGACGGCTGGCGGCTGACAGATAGGTGCGCTGTAGAGTAGAAAGAGCGATGTGCAAAATTGGCGTAAGTAGTGTAACGGGTAGAGCACGCATTCCCGGAAAGAGTGAGGTGCGGGTTCTAGTCCCGCCTGACGCGAAAGTTTTGCACATTGCTCTACATCAATGGGTATATATTTAGAACATCATACCATCGCTATAAGTGGTTAAATAACAAGAATCTCATTTGACTGTTCTTAATTGAAGCTAAGACCCTAATGTATAATTCTTTTCAATATCATCGACTAATGGCGAAATACCTCCGCATCATTTGGTGTTACAAAATTGGTAAGGTACATGTTAACAAAGTGTTATTTAATTTGCCATTAGATAAGAGATCTGACATTCGACCAAGTGCTATCGAAAAATCAAGCTTTGTCCAACGACATAGTCTTTTTTCGTCTTTTGTCGAAGCAATAGATCATTTTAGCGACTTATGACTGAGACATATCTTAGCCGTTTTTATCTTTGCTAACGTGCAATTTCCTTTCCCAATATACAACTGACTGCGTTTTACACCTTCAAAATGAAAATGGTTTCACAAAACACGTCAAGTGACTTCACTAATAAGTGCTTAAAAACTAATTTAAAGTGAATCGATGGTAATTCGATGTAATCTAATACATTCACGTTGGGGCTGAGTTTACAACAACGGAAATGCTGAGAACTTTGTGAATTTGAGGTAAAAACTTTGCCCTATGTCCCAACAGTTGCGTAGAATTTCACACAGTTTCTCCCAATTCTGAATTCTGCGAAAGTAGGTTTTTTGAAAAGACGAAAAAGATATAGAAATATCTCAAAATTTCACGTGCCAATGAGGTAGTAGTTAGAAATACTGCCTCACTATCACGTTCTACTGGACAAACCCGTGGTTTCGCTGCTTTCAATAAGGTCTGATTTGAGGTGAGATATGTCGATGTAAGGTTATAAGTCCATTTCACTTCCACCTTATACGCACTGGATTCAATACTCTTTATTGCTTGATCAGAATTTTCTGATGTTAATAGTATTTGTCTATCTCTCAAAAAACTGTGCGTTGCTATTATAGGTAGGTTATCCTACAGGAACGTGAAAGAAATTTATATAACTCTTTGCGAGCACCAGTAGGCAAAAAGTTTATTAAGATAAAATTCTCTCTCGTATACTTTTTTAGATAAAAAATATTATTCCCATGAGTTCTCACCCCAAAATTTCCATTATTCACTGAAAAACAAGTCATATAATGATATTGAAAACCTCTCTGCTTTATGATTTTATCGTAACTCACAGCAACCTAATAAATAGTGAGCTCGAGGTTTTTTTAGAGGACGACAACTTTTTGCGATTCCGTGCAGATGAGGCACCACTGTTTTTCTATTGATGAGAAGAAGATAAGGAAATAGCTGAGCGCAAAGTGGAACTGAAGTACAAAAAATGGATAAAGATTTTGTATGCGATAACCTTTGAAAACTGGTACCAAATGAGTTTGAACAAACATTTGTATGACATATGAAACACATGTATACATACATGCACATATGTGCATACGTACACACATATACACACACATACATTCATAGATAAGCGTTCTATACGAATCTCTTAATGGCTACTGTGCACGATTTAGGAGTTCCTGCATCTGGTTGGTTATTTCGCATACACCACAAAGATCTTCAAACTTTTTGCACGTGTCGGATCGACTTTCCCCGATGTTGTGAGAAGGCGGGCCAGATAGTTCTCACTCGAGTAAGAGAGTGAACTGTTTTCAAACAGGTCTGCTACCAGTTTACAGATTGCGGTGAAATGAAAGGCTTGGTGAGCGCCGGGTGGAGTAGAAAGGTGCTTGAGATGAAATAATAGGTTGTTGAAAAAGTTCTATTGTATTGCCAGAGAAAGTGATTTCTGCCCATGTGATTTCTAAGGATTTAAGCTTCTCAGAAAGTTCGTTTTCTTGTGCATCGAACAATGTATTACTTGTCTACACAACCTTCAGAATGGCGTTGTCCAAAGAAGATATTCGCCTGCTGCTCCGCTTCCACTACGAATTGGGTGTCGGCGCTCCGAGCCTCATCAACAAATCTGCAAAACGTACGATGACAGAATTTGAGATGTTCACTCACGTCAGCATTCTTTATGCTGCCAGATATGTGGCTGAATTGTCTTGATGTGGAAGGAGGCTTTCCAACTATTGTTTGCTTTTGTTCGAGCTGAATTGGTGTGTAAATAAATTTTTCACATGCATCTTGAAAATACGACAAAACTTCTTCTACAACCTAATTCTTCATTATTAGAGTGTTACGAGCCCTGTGGGATACATATATACACAAAACATAATCATACACACAGCATATATATATATAGCATACACAGATACAATACACAAACACACACACATGCACACATACACATAAAGCACACATACAACAAACACACACACACATACACGCAACACACACACACCCACACACACATACATACATACATACATACATACATACATACATACATACATACATACATACATACATACATACATACATACATACACACACGTGTAATTACGCCACCAGTATTAGTTAAATTCTTCATAATTCCTCATATTGTCGGCTGTTTAACTGATTTCGCATCAAAAGGTTATCGTTTATATGCCATGCTCTGTGTTTGGTCAGACTCTTAGATAGAGATCATTTCATAATCGAATCATCAAATTAGCTTCTTTTTCAGCAATTCAAAATCGTACTTAAATGAATGGGATAGCTGCTCCAAACATGGGACACAAATTTCATTTCAAAAAGAAAAAAAACTCAAGAATGACATTGACGCTGATGACCACGGAGAGACTTGATGTAACGGTAATTATCGGAATTGGTATGATATAATAATAATGATGAATGCCGACTAACAATCAGAGACGTTTGAACAACAGACGATGATGATTAACGATGTCAAAACGACAAGATGGCGACCAGTTCCAACAAAGGCAATTGTCCTTCACTTTTATGGAGCATAAGTGAAGAATAAAATGAATTGTTTCTTCTTTTCCTTTCTTCCTCACTTTTCTTTCTTCACTCCTACCTTCTTTTTTTTTTTGCTTTTCTGAGCATTGGTAACGCTTTCAAATAAGAAACATGGAACACTCCTTATCACAAGGTCATTATTTACTTGAGTTTTCATCTTTTATGAGTCGTCATCACATTTTATTAGCGTTTCGTTTCGGCTGCTGCTTGAAGATTTTTCTTCACGAATGTCATAGAATGCTGACAAAGTCGATTCTCAGTAAGGTTTTAAGGACAGTCGAGCTAAGGCGTCACCTCATGAACAGCAGAGGAGCGTTGGGAGAGAAGGTCGAACGACAGCACTTAACTTCTTGATGAACTGCATTACTAGCCAATCCACTATCTTGACATTTATGAATTTGATCAAGTTCAAATCTTCATTCACTCACATAAACTAGATTTTATCATTCTAATCACAATATCGTTCTTCTAGAAATTCGTACCCGAAATTTCTTATCTTAGTGTGCTCTTCTAGACCGATCTAAACACCGTTATGCCTTCGAAACCTAAAAAAATTCCGAGTAATGGCGCATAACTCAACATCGATCACTTTTCACATGGAACTAACTTCATTTGTCAAATGTCTTCTTCCTGCCACGCACACCATTTCATGCTCTACCCAATGATATGACATTTCTTGATGATTCATGACACAAGTCTTATAAGCATCGTGCTGTAGGAAAACTCAAGTAGTATTAAAATTCGAGAAGTTAAACATATGGTATTATCGCTTCAATATTACTCTATTCTCATTATTGAATAGTTCGACATATCGGACAATCTTCAGCTGGTTGAATATTTACTATCAAGAAAGGGAGATTTAGAATCGATTTATGCCATAAAAAGTTCGATGTACAATTTAGTTACTTCCACGAAAGCTACTAGTTGCTAAGAGGCCAATGTCTCAGTAAATATATCAATCAAGTGCTTTTTGCACACTTTTATGAACATTTTCCTCGAAGTATGCTATTATTTAACAACAACTGTGTCCTGAAAACTTGGATTACAAGCTTAGACCAATAACCAAACCATTTATACGGGAGTAGTGAGTTTGAGTTAATCAATCATATCCTTCTTTTCTCACCCAATTCCTACGGTGGGCATTCTCTGCAGGAATGCTGTTAAGACGTTATGTTGTTGGAGCACGACTATTGGGCTCCTGAATCATTCAAACGAGCATTTATAACAGTTGTTCATCTTGAACAAACAAAATTACTGTGTTCGTTTCTGAGTTTTGATAGCCTCTCGTATCATACAATCACAGAAAGATCGAGAGAAGAATTCAACTGATTACTTGCCAAAATCAAGTCAATATTTTATGCTGTGGAATCCCTTCAGTATCTTTATAATGCAGATATATTGTACCTCTTCATTCAATCGCTTTTTTACAGACCTTACTCAGGCACTAATAATCTGATAAGGATAAAACTTGTTTTGAGCCATTAGGTCTAAGTGCTATACAGGCGCCTGTATAGCACTTAGACCTAATGGTTCAAAACATGTTACATAATTAGCTAACACATTGAGCAATCATCATACAGTGGAATTTTGGCACTTTTATCCTATCCGCACTTATTTTTAATCTCTGGAAAAAATCGTTTTTAGCATCTCTCAGAGTTTTAGTATATTCGATAGCTTAAATATCGACAGTTCAACATTGCACTTTGCCTCCTAAACGGTCTTTTCACTTCGCTGTATCAGTAAAAATAAAAAGCGGGACAGAACTCCTAATTTAATGAAAAAAATTCTCACGCCACATGTGAATCACGCTGCGCGATGAATTAACCGCTCGATCGATACACAATCACTTACACACCCTTTGCTGACAAAAATGCGATTCAAGTGCAAAATCAAATTTTTTTCGGCAGCTACAGTGCACTGAAAAGGCCTTTTCAGAGATCAAGTACGCTATTGAATTTGTAGAGATCTAAGCTATCACATGTTTACTGTAAGATTGGCGAGAAAGCTCTGTCCAGAGGAAAAGGTCCGATTATGAAACACACACTATTTTTAATGCTATATTGCATTAAAAAGGCCGTTTATAAATAGACATACAGCAATAAAA